TACCATATGGTTTAAAAAGGCCGTTGAAGGAAAACAAAAGGCCATGCAAAGGGCCATGTAAAGGCCCTGTTATACGGTGCAATTTTTCTTGCGACTTGCAATGCAATTCTACGTTTGGAGATGTAAATTTGGCAACTACGAAACTTTTATGTTTATTAGATTCCATGTGCGTTTCTTACACTTACATTTTGAGTACTTTGTACTAATTTACATCTCTTAAAAGTAGGATTCCATTCCAAGTTGCAAGAAAAATTGCAGCGTGTAACATGGCCTTAAGGGCCTTGTTGTCATGTTATTTTGTTATTTTGAATGCGTGACGACGCCGTACTGTAAATTAAAACCTAAAAGTGCAATAGCAGAGCATGCCTAGCAAAACTATCAAATTAGCAAAACTATCCAGATCATAAATCACTTTTCTCTGATACTTAACGCCTAGTTAACGTCTAATTTATTTACATCAATCGTTTGGTCGTGTTTAATACAAGTATACAATCATGAAAGAATGTTTGCTGTCTGTGATACAGTCAGACGCCAGACCGCAACTTATAGATGATTTGAAATCTTGCATTGTAATAAGAAATATATAGAGATATATACCTTGCCCTTCGGGGAACTTAATCGGAACTCCTTGCCTTGTAAGAACCGCTTTAACTACCAAAGATATGGACAATTGCACAAAACATTCGCTCATATTTCAGTGACATTAACTAAAATTATGCCATTTCTTTGAACTATACATTCGCGTACTTACAATTCATGGATTGTTGAGTTTCATTCAATTAATTCACTGGTTAGCTGCGATGTATTCTAATGGTTTATTCTCGGCTTTCAGCTCATGTTATACAAGTCCTTATCAACAGTAGAAATAAAATTAATATCTATAAAATAAATATTCAGTGATGGCGCGTAACGTGAATTAAGCCCCGTACAGACGGGCAAGTTTCCTTGACAAGTTTTCCTTGCCAAGTTTCCCTTGCCAAGTTTTCCTTACCAAGTTTTATTTGCTCGTGTGAACGCGAAAAAATTTACAAGTTTTCCTTGAACAAGGAAAAATGCCCGTGTGTACGGAATTAACAAGGAATTGCTCAAGGAATTGTAGGGAAATGCGCAACAATATCTGCGAGCCAATCGTGCGGGTTTTGTTTGTATTGAAACTCGGTCGTATACTTATTTTATCATGGCTTATATTATCGTAAAGTGTACTCATATTATCGTAAACTTGTCAAGAAAAATTTGTCAAATTCTTCGCGTACACGCGAGCAAATAAAATTGGCAAGGCAAAAAAAAACTTGTTCGTCATACACACCAGCAAGTGAACTGGTCAAGAAAACTTGTGAAGGAAAACTTGCCCGTCTGTACGGGGCTTTACTCGCTAAAGTCGCAATTCCTGTCGCAGCATGACACACGTGTACAATACCGCAAATTTACTTTTGATTGGCTTTCACATCATTAACTGAAACATTTCAAATAGAAACTCTTTACCTTATGTGAACGTTTAGCAACCATCTTTTTTCGCTTTGTCCTTGAAATATTGCATATATAATTATCATCGGTTGCGATATTTCAAAGAACTATAATAACATGCAAAGTATATAAAAAAAATTAGCCATTAACTGCATGATCCTAAGTTGCTTTTCGTTCATGAAGTACAGTAAATCACTATGTAAAATGTGGACACCCTGAATACCATACGTTTTAAGAAGACCGTGGAAGGAAAACGAATTAACATATTGTTGTGTTCCAGTATTTTAACTTTTTATATTGAATGCATGATGACGCGGTAAGATTATAATTATGATTTTCATTAAGATATGCTTTTTCACAATAAAGTGATTCGGTTTCAAAAAAATTACAAAATCATATAACAACAAACAATTAACAGTTTATATCTATTTTTATTTACCAAACAACTTTTTGATAACCAATACCATTGAATTTGAACATCTTGCTGTAGAAATAATTCTAACGTACAGACAAAAAATAAAATGAATTCCTGTCTTTGAAAAAGATCATAAGTACAAAGTCCAGGGGAGGGATAATAGTGAAGAAAGTGTAAGGTAAAATCATACTTGAAAAACAACACCTATAGTGCACCCAAGAAATGAGCCTTAATTATATCGGGAAATATAATCATGAAAGCAACCATTTTGATTATTGAAACAACAATATATTGTAAATATTCAAATCATATCATATGCATGGTTACATTTTTTACGGCGATGCTATATCGGTATATATACAATACGACTAAAAAATAGACAAAAAATCAACTTTTCATCGATTTCAGGTCTGATTTAATTAGGACTAATTTAAATTATTATGATTGACTTAAATTGAATGTAATTCATTGGTCTTCTAAAGTCCCAATTTAATGCTAAGATATTATACTTGTGAAATGATATAAGATAATAACTACTTTTTATTATACTATATTTATGTTTTATACTTTTGTATTCAATAAAAGTAATGTGGTAAAGAAGTATAAGACATGAATTGGAGGATAATGTAGAGCTCAGCAGCAGTGGTAGGAATCTAAACATCGTGCAGATTGCAGCTGCTGTGGTAATGAAAGTGTTGATATATTGATATATTGTTTCTTGGGTGTATCGCGACGGTTTACTTTTAATTTAGTTTAACTGATCAACTTCTAACTTCGAAAACTTTATTAGGAGTGCTCGATTTAGACCAAAATCATAGGGGATTGGAGCATGAATAAGATGTTTACCAAATGTACAGTGAGGTTTCAAAATAGTAAATTAATAAACTAATAAGTAATGTATAGTTGAACACTTCCATTACCACGTATCATTAATATAGGCTATGCTCAAATCTATATGTCTACTTATTATGATTATGACCAACATTCATTTTAACCATCTTGTGGACCGTACGTATCCTTTTTGTTAGTTTCCATCGCTTCAGGGTATGAAGTTCATGAGACCATATGCCACCTTTTCCACGAGAAATACTGTTCGAATGTAATCACGATGATCGAGTTGTAGATATACACGTTATAAACTCATATCCTTTTATTAATCCATTTGTAGTGTTGCCACTGCTTTTCTAAAAGACGTCATTTTCAATCCAAAAAGAGGCATGTTATAATCTTGGGTGAAAGAGATCAGTATATATACCTTTACTGCCGTCGCTGTAAACCACACGGTAAATATTGATGATTATACTGTTTGGCTTTCATCTTCCACCGTATCTTTCTGCATTTAAGACAATCAGGCGTCACTTTTCCTTTTTTCTGCAGGTCTAGTTCGTATTTTTAATTCATGTAATTTCGTCGTTGTTAATTTTTGTGTTTCCGTGTCCACGTTATTTTCTATTCCGTTGAAACGGGCGCATCCGCAAAGTTTTCCACAGAAACTTGGCAACTTTCCATTCCTTTGCAACTCGTCATTATGTTACTCGTGATTTCCTTGCGAAGTTCTTTTGACTGATTTTAATAAAATGTTAAAATTAAAATATCTTGAAAGCATACGGAATTTTCTCGCGTGACGAGTTAGAAAATCACTGCTTGCTAATTTGGGACGTGGTGTTCTATACAAGGCACGAAGACTCGAATCATTATAATTATCATATTTCTTCTTTCTTATTCTGGTTGTATGCCAATAAAATGCAGATGTTGTTTTTCCACCAGGTTATAGAATGTTTGTTAATAGTCAATGTTTTTACACTTAAGATAACTAAGTACTGTGCTCTGTCGCAATTTATAGCGAGTAATAGCTACTTTTCATTCTTATTAGATCAATGTTTAGAATTATACCCCAAGACCTTCCCGAGATATGCAGAAATTGAGTAATCGACACTGCTGAGAACAACGAAAAATTTGTTTACTCGAGAGGAATATTAACTTTTGGGATTTTAAAACGAGTAATCAAATTCTTTTTAAGCTGCGAAGATCTAGCGTTGTTCACGAGCATTTTTTCATTATCCTCCAACGAAAGTGAAATAATGCAATTATTTAATATCTTATTCATTTTAAGTCTTTCAATTGGTTGTTTGTATCACATAAACATTTTCCATTTTACTGACCGTGTAATGAAATCAATGTTTCCATTGCATTGTCAAGTTTTCTCAATGCACAATTGCTTTTTCACAAAATTCAATCATTCACAGTATTAATCGTATCGCGTACTTGCACACATTTGATCACGAATCCGAACATGGAATTACTCATAAACACAAACTGTTTATTCAATAAAGTTAGATTTTTTGGTGTGTTTTTTTGTGTTGTATAAAACAAATCATTCTCCACCATGAATAGAATAATCCATCTTTCATCTCGTGAAAATATTCTTTACCATTGCCCTCCTGTTATACCATTGTTTGTATGGTATTGAGCAGAAACTGGGGAGAAAATTTCACGCGAAACAAGTAGCTACGTCTATCTTCGAAATGTTGAAAAAGACATTGGATAATTTTTAAAAAATAGGAATTGTAGTTACATGATCCAGATGGAGTAGCATGCAGCATGGCAGCCTCTTTGATTTTCCAATTCATGAATTGGTTTATCAGCTATGTGATGATGCAAAAAAAACCTCTCCTCTTTACCGCAAGTGTAGAGTTTCGCGGGCGCGGTGCCTATGCACCTGCATTGAGGCAAGTTTACTAAACTAAATCTAAGTTGAAGATTGAATTATATACTTACACAAGAAACCAGAAATATCTTTGCGTGGTGATCCCCATGCCATAGAATCAATCGCTTGTTGTCTAAAACACACCAAACTCTGGAAAATAACTGTTAATTGCGGTGAGAAGAAATTTCACATAAATTTACTACTTCTGTTTGGCCGATAGGAAACTTACTCACAAATTCTTTAATCGCTGATAAGAATTTTACTAACAAAATTTGCAAAATATAACAGCCGGTCTCCCATTCCGACTGTTTTCTGTATTAACGAGGACTAAACAACCAAAAGCTAATTACATAGAGCAGAACCTGTAAGATTAATAACCTTCCTAAACTTGAACGACAGAATAGATTACCTATACTACGCTTTATCTAGTAGGTTAAAATTTTGAAATGAACCATTAAGGTCATCAGTTGGTAATACCACAAAACCAGAAAACATTTTGTGAGATTTCTTTCTTATCGTTTCGATGTCGTGTTTTTGAAACATCACATCTTTTCCGTAGATTGTAAACCGAGAATAACCTACAATGGATCGATGCGACTCTTTATCGTGCTTTTCAAAGAGTTTTTTTGTCTTCTCTAGCGCCTCCTTGACTGATGATTCATGCAGTAAGTGATTATAAAATCCTTTTATAAACTCCGTTGTTGCATCATCGTCACTGTGGCTTAGTGTGGTAAGAACAGAGCGAGCTCCGGCTGAAAGAAAAGACAAAGCTAAAGTTTTAACACCCTCTGGAGAGATCTCGTCTTGCTCAGAGAGACGTAGGCATAAAACAACCAAGCGAGCTTTAAGAGAAAGACCCTGAACATCCTTTTGCGTCAAAAAGTCATCCTGGTCAGGAAGAGTGGAAGATGCTTGATTCGAGGAGACACATGGAGAGAGCATTATTGCGCATTGCTTAGGTTCAATATGTGCAGAAATATGGATAATACTTGCCCCGCTCAAAAGTCCCAGCAAAACCTGTTTCCTGGCTTCGCCCTCCACGAAGGCCTTGGCATTGAAAAGCTTTGACAGAGAATGAACCTCCTCAGTGGCTTTAGGCAAGTCTGACGTTGGATTACCAACAAACAACGCAAAACCACACTCGGGTAGAGTTTCACTGGATTTTTCTCTGATCATTTCAATGTCGCCTTTTGTAAACATCACATCCTCTCCATAGAGAGTAAATAAAGCCCAAATAAAAAAGGAGCGGTAATCTCCTCTTTCGTGTTGTTGGAAGAGGTTCATTACCCTTCTTAAAGCCTCACAAACTGACGTTTTCTGAAGCAGTTCGCCGTAAAATGCTTCCATGAAATCTTTTGTTGCATCATCACTAATGGGCCATAGTGTGGCGAGAACAGAGCGTGCTCCAGCAGCAAGAAAAGACAGGGCTATACCTATGTCTCCTGAAGAAATCTCCCCTAGGCCTGTGTGACAACAGCATAGGACGACCAAGCGAGCTTGCAATGAAATACTCATAATATCATTCTGAGTGAGGAGATAGGAATCTGGATTTGGTGGAGACGAAGATGGTTCATTTAAGGAAAGGTCAGGAGCAAGCATTATTTCACCATTCTTCGGTTCACCATGAGCAGCAATATGAATTATACTAGCACCGCTTAGAAGTCCGAGAACAACCTGTTTTTTTGCTTCAGCATTTACGAGAGGTCTTGCTGTGAAGAGCTTCGAAAGACTTGCAACTTCCTCAGCTGCTTTGGGTAGATCAAGAGGTGTGACATCTTTGCCATGCCCAACTTTTGGATTACCAACAAACAACGCAAAACCGGGTTCATAGTCATGGGGTTGTTCTTTGGTAAACGTCAGAGTGTGTAATGAGGGTGTTACTTGAATGCTGTAACTCTGAGATAAATACCTCCCATTTTCATCAATCAGGGAAGAAAATGGTACAAAAAACAGTGGCCCGTGAGGAACAACAATGAGCTTATTTCCTTTGACGGCATCTCTTATCGGTTGAATGAGAAAATCGAACAGTTTTTTCAAACTATTTTCATCACTGCAACTATCTGCGCTCAAATGTTTTTCGTGCAAGTCTTCAAGCGTTTCCCTTTTACACGGCTTGGTTGGCGGTGAGATCATGTGACTTTCAAAACTATGTTCATTCGCAAGTGAATCAAGTTTAAAAAATGAAGAATCTCGATTAACTTTGACACCTCTGTTTGCGGAAAAATTCATCACAAACGCCCATATAATCGATAAATCATGTGAGCACTTAAAGGTGACATCACTGTTCAAAACCCAAACTTTCAGAGACCCTTCATTGAAATCAAATGCAAATAACACTATTGAAATTTCATTATTTTTTACCTGAAGAATATTCTGTATTCGCTCTATTTCTCGATTTTCCTCTCTTTTCTCAATTTTGCTCCATATTGATCGTGCGTAATGAGACAATTCTGCATCGAAATTATTTCGTTTTCTTTCAATAGAAAAATGGAGCTCTTTAGCTCTACCCAGATCAGTCACTAATAATCCTGATTCTATGCGCCCCAGAGAAACAAAACAACTCATTAACTCTCCATGAGCTCTACAGAAAAAACTTGTGAAGGAGAGTTTGTTTTCATCTGGAACTTTATTTTGGAACTGCTCTTCAAGAAGTTTAATAAGTTTTACTAAATATGATGATGCAACTTTGTATTCTCCTAAACTCTTAAAAACATTTGCTAGTTCTTCATAACTACGTATTATCATAAACGGCTTGTCAATAATAGCCTTGGCGATTTTAGAGCCTTCTTTTATATAGCTAATGGCTTTTTCATCCTCTCCCATTCTTTGGTAAATCAAAGACAAATCACAATTGGCTTCTACTATACCTGCTTGGTCATCGACCGTCTTTGCTATCTCTAAAGATTTTCTGTGCCATTCGATGGCTTTGCTGTATTCACCTTTATGCTGGTGAACACGGCCCAATTCGTTACTGACATATTTAATTCCATTTTGGTCATCAATAGCATTATATATGTTTAAAGCGCGATTCAAGTAAGCAAATGATTTTTCATATTCACTGAAAAAAGCATGGATGTGTCATAAACGGCTATTACTCTCAGCTATTCCTTCCTGGTGGCCAATGGCTGTGAAAATTCTTAACGTTTCTTTGAAACATTGAAGTGCTTCTTCATTTCTTTTTAGTTTAATGTAACAAATGCCTAAATTACATTTGACATTTGCTGTTTCCCCTTGATCGCCCATTGCTTTTCCTATTTCTAATGTTTTCTTATAATGGTCGATAGCGCTTTCCCACTTTTTCTTACAACGATAAAGATCACCTAGATTTCTATTCTGTTCTGCCATTGATGACTGATCACTAATGGCCGTGCTAATTTCTAAGCTGACTTTCAAATAGCTAATTGCCTTTTCATAGTCTTTCCTTCTTTGATAAAATCTCCCCAAACTCATATTAGCATCAGCTATTCCTTTCTGGTCGTCAATTGCGTTCATAAGTCTTAACGCTTCTTCGAGACATGAAAGTGCCTCGTCGTTTCTTCCTAGCTGAACGTAAGAGTAGCTTAAACTGTGATTGACCTTTGCTATTATTCCTTGATTGCCAATTGCTGTTCCTAATTCTAATGTTTTTTTCCAATGGTAAATTGCGATTTCCCACTTTCCTAAAGAATAATAATTATTCGCTAACTGGCGATTGCTTTCTGCCATTAAATACGTATCGCCAATGGTCGTGGTAATTTCTAAGCTTTCTTTCAAACAGCTAATAGCTTTTTCATAATCTTTTAATCTTTCGTAAACATCTCCTAAATACATATTAGCATGAGCTATACCTTTCTGGTCGCCAATAGCGGTCATAAGTCTTAACATTTCTTCAAAACATTGAACTGCCTCTTCATTGCTTTCTAGTTTACTGTAACAATTGCCTAAGTTACAATTGACATCTGCTATTTTTTCTTGATCGCCCATTGGTTTTCCCAATTCTAATGTTTTCTTATAATGGTCAATTGCGCTTTCCCACTTTTCTATACAACGATAAAGATCACCTAGATTTCTATTCTGTTCTGCCATTGATGGCTGATCACTAATAGCCGTGCTAATTTCTAAGCTGACTTTCCAAAAGCTAATTGCCTTTTTATAGTCTTTCGTTCTTTGATAAAATCTGCCCAAACTCATATTAACACCAGCTATCCCTTTCTGGTCGTCAATAGCGGTCATAAGTCTTAACGCTTCTTCGAGACATAAAAGTGCCTCGTCGTTTCTTCCTAGCTGAACGTAAGTGTAGCTTAAACTGTGATTGACCTTTGCTATTATTCCTTGATTGTCAATTGCTGTTCCTAATTCTAATGCTTTTTTCCAATGGCTAATTGCGATTTCCCCCTTTCCTAAAGAATAATAAATATTACCTAACTGGCGATTGCTTTCTGCCATTAAATACGTATTGCCAATGGTCGTGCTAATTTTTAAGCTTTCTATCAAATAGCTAATAGCTTTTTCATAGTCTTTTAATCTTTTGTAAACATCTCCCAAATACATATTAGCACGAGCTATACCATATTGGTTGCCGATTGCCGTTGCTATCTGTAACGAGTTTCTGAAACAGTCGATAGCCTGGTCATAATGACCTAAATTCACGTAAGCGTTTCCCACATCGATACTGTTTTGCGCCTCTAAAGCGGGATTTGAAAACCTCCCCAAACTCATCTTAGCATCAGCTATACCTTTCTTGTCTCCAATAACGGTCATAAGTCTTAACATTTGTTCGAAACATTGAACTGCCTCTTCATTTCTTTCTAGTTGACAATAACGTCGACTTCCTAAACCACGATTAACCTCTGCTATTCGCTCTAAGCTCAAATTGCAGTCGCATAAGTTTCTGTGGCTTACGGCAATTTTTCTGCGATCATCAGAAGCAGTACCTCCCTCCAAGCCTTTTTTTAAGTATTCAATAGCCCTTCTTTCTTCGCCTGAAGCTTCATAACAAGCGTCAACAAGCGCGCGAATATTTGCAATCCTTGCTTTGTCCCCAATGGCAGTACTTGCATCTAGAGCTATTTTATAACTGTTAATGGCCTCTTCATATTGGCCTAATTCAAAATAAACACGGCCTAAACCTTCATTGCTGATTGCTACTGGAAACCTATCGTCACTAAGTGAAAAACCCTTTTTGAAGCAGGCAATAGCATTTTGATATTCTTTCAATCCAATATAAGCCTCGCCTTTACTTGTGTGTAGAGCGGACTCGAAAATAGCAAGTTCTAAATCTTCAATTTTAGTTAAACTTTCAATGGCTGTTTCGTAACACTCAATTGCCTCTTTATACTTACCTGATTTCAAGTTGTTATCTCCTGAACGTGCGGTGCATGTAGCTATTTCAAGATGATTCGTCATTCTGATGTCTTCTAACTTCCCAATATTTAGCTCCTTGGGTTCCATCACACCTTTTGATTTACTTTCCTCTGTCTATATTTATGAAGAGTACAACGGTAAAATTATTAAAAATGCATTTAAACAATTATATATAATTATTAAAAAAACCTTTTTAACCAGGGATTAAAACTATATGAAATTAGATAGAGATGAGATCAAATGCAAGGTTTAATCCTGTAATTTGATCTGCATTCGACAACAGCCTAGAGTTTGGTATCAAACTTCGCGTACAGGCATGTGTAAGTGAATTTATTAATTAGACTAGAAATACATGCATGCAGCAACCCCTCGCCTAGGTTAAACAAAATTTGTTAATGATTGTTGGAAATTTTATGTGGTTTGGGGGTTTTGGAGGGTACAGGGTATTTGAGAAATAGAAATTGAGAGAAGTATAGAAATATTTTTCTGCACGTGGAAACACTGTAGTCATAGCAACTCGCAACGGCCGTATATTTTTAAAGAATCAAAGTTTACCCTCATATTTTTGTGAAAAATTGGCAAAAATACGACAAGATTTTTACTTTTTTCTGGAAGTTAAGTTACTCATCTATAGTCAGTGTTATGGTAAATTATTTTAATTATTAAATACCATGAAATATAACATCAGACGTCTCATACAGCGATTCGACTGGTTTTTGTACGGGAATGTTTTCATTTTGTTTTCTTTTTGTCATTAGGAAAACGGAGTTTATAAATGAAATTATAATGTCGTTTATCATAGAACACATTCAGATTTATAGTGAAATACATTTGAGAATATTAAAGTTGTGTTTGCCACAAAAGAATTACTTTTTAAAGCTGTGCCGGATGAAATATTATCAAGTGTAAAATCTTCCGACTTCATTATTTGTTAAACCGTGAAAAGTCCTGACCTCATTCGAGTTTCCCTCTAATTTAGTAAAAATACATATATTCCATATATATAAAAGTATAAATTTATAAATTTCATCAAAATTTTGCTAAATGACAGTTATTTATTGACGTTTGAAAATACAAATTTTTGTCTCGACCAATCAAGAGCTTAGTAGTTCACAGTTCACACTGGCGCATGCGCATAACGTAGAAGACCGTCCATGGCGTGAGGTCCATTGCATAATGGCGGACGACATTGATTTCGCATTCGCATTTCGTGGGTGTAAATATCCGAGCGGAATTAGTACCCTCGCACGGTGCTCCGCACCGGCTCGGGGAATATAGAGTAAGGCAGAGTTGCGTGTCAAAAACAAAGGCTAATAATTCAATATAGTTTAATATAAACAAATATTTTGCATTCTTGTAATTCGATTTCGAAAAGTGGTTTCATTCTGGTCTGCGTTAACGCTTGTGCAGTTATTTACTATTCCTAGATGGTCTCTAGCGGCAGTACATGTCTCCAAAGCTATGTTCAAGCAGTTAATAGCCTCTTTATAATTATTATTGGCCAAATTCAAAATAAGCACGGCCTAAATTTTCGTTGCCATGTGCTACTTATATTTAATCGTCGCTAAGTAATACACTTTTTTTTAAGCAGCCAATAGCTTTTGCATATTTTCTCAACTAAATTTAGGTATGATATTTTCTGCAGTGAATTGCGAACTGCATAACTGTCAATTTCATTACAACTTTTAACGCCTATTCCAAATACTCAATTGCCTTCTTATACCAACCTAACTCCAAATAGTCATCTTCCAGAAAAAATGCGCTAACCCTGGGTTGAACAGTGTTTTAAATCGGTGACTTCTATCGGTTCAGAAATTATTTATGAAAAAAAATATTCGACTTTGTAAACAAGCAATTATGTAATCAATTTTTGACTAATTTGGCGAATTTGACTGTGTATGTGTTGTCAACACTAAATATATTCTTTAAATGTTAGCGAACAAAAATCGAGATGAAGCAAAAAATTTCTTGCGTGATTTTCCAGCTCATGCATATCAATATCAAATTCAACAGGTCGTCTTACTTCTTCAAGACTTCCTTCTTTAATTGCGATCTTCGTTTTAGCAGCATTCCTGGAAGAAAAATGTTACTGTAGACAAATAGTTTAATAGCGAAGATATCTTAACACCATATAGCTATTGTGTATTCAATGTAAACTTGGCAGTATTGTGAGTGGTCCATGCATGAATAACGAATTCTCGTTAACATTTTTGTCCCGCACGGGTTAGAAACACTTCAAATAGCTGGGGTGCGTTTCAGATTCTTCCGTTTTCAGTGGGCGAAAACGCCGGATACGTGTGTACGGTACGCGTAACCGTGGGAATATTCTTGCGTTTTCAAATTCTTCCGGCATCGTGTGGACGGGGCCTTAAAGGCCCTGGAAACTGGACGAGATTCGCTAACGCGACGCGAATTTTCTTTTTCAGAAGCGAACATTTTCAGAACATTTTGAGAGATACAGGATCCAGACAAATCAAAATGACTATCGTTCTATAATTACCAAGGATACCACTGCATTGGAAAACTTAGTAGCTTCTCAAAACTTTCTTAAAATTTCTTAAAAGTTGCGTTGGCGGAACGCGTCCAATGTGGGTCGGCCTTAAAACGTCATCTATGGTTGTGATTACGTAATGTCCACTATGTTCATAACTGTGCGAATGATTATAAAAACTTAAAGTTGCGGTCTTAAGCCCGCTTTTCATGTTTTTCATTGGACGAAGAAACTTGGATATAATTTCCATGTTTTGTTTTGTATAATGCATTTTTAAAACTTTTTTACGAAAACTTTTGCGAAATGGCAGTTACATTGCTTTTCATTAAAATACAATACTTCTGTCTTGACGAACAGGACGTTGCTGATTCCATTATTACTTGCTGCGCATGCGCATAACCAGTGGTATTGTTCTGTCACATTTCCCGGATGTAATAAACCTCTGGGCGTGTATGAAATATGGGTGTAAAGCACATTCATATACATACCTTTTTTTATTTACCTCCTCCATGTTTAGTATCTTCAACTCTATTCCCTCCATTTCAATTCCAATCAGCGAAAGTTCCCTCAGAAAACTTTCCTGAAGCCTTTTGGATTCAAAATCATCCAAAACCTCAAGAAACCGTTCATCTGTAAAGCAGTGCAATGAAACAAGAAGACTTCCTTTTTCGATGTTTGTTATTTCTTGGTCATGTTTCTCAGGACCGAAAGCTCTAATCACTGTGTACTCGAGAACATCTAATCCAGGATCTTTTTTCAGTTCATCAAGCAAATCGCCAATAAAAGCTTCTATGTCCAAATCTCTTGGCTCTTTTTCATGCTTTATTCTTCCGTTGACAAATATTACGAGAATAACTCCTTCCTTGTTCACATCACATGGCAGGTTGTCATTTGGCAATGATGTACACCCCTGATGAAGACACTAGACCGGAGTGTCGAAACGTTGGGTCGTGAAAGTTAATCTTTGTGTGGTGATTACTTTCATTTACTAAAACCAGAGTAGCGATAATTACGATGGATTATATACCTGGTTGCCGTGAACTCATAAACTTCAATGATGTACTTTCCTGCCCAATTGCTAAACAGCCTAGGGGGAATTTAGGCGAAAGGGACATGGTAAGTTTATAAATTCTGTGAGAATTGTGTCAGTTGTATACTAAATTTAGATAGCCAAAAAATTGCACCTGTAACGAAGATAAAACAAACTATCGAAGTTTGAGGAAATTTAATTGAATCATTGACGCTTTGGGCAGCGCCAGAACTTATAGAAACCTACCTTTTTAGCGAAAATGATTTTTTGCAAAGTTTAAAATCAATTTTAGAGAACTTTCGTCCGTTTGAGAAAGGACTAACTTTGAGAAAGGACTAACTTAGATTTTGATATATTATAGTTGTATTTTTAATAAAAATTCATGGGGATATTACTTTTTAAAATCGGTACATTATTTCGGGATGTCTCTAAAATATGGAAAATACGCCCTATAAAAATATTGCTTAACTAGAAATACATGCATGCAAAATCCCCTCGCCTGAAGCAATAAACATATATTTCCATCACTGAGATTCTATAATACTCGTTTCTGCTGAATGATCGAAGTCGTATAAGTAAAATCCTATATCAAGTACAATTATAAAATCGACTCTCGAGCTATGACATTCAACTATATAATTCATTAATTGTGCTACGAATAGTTTTTAGTTTTAAATACTGTACTACTATTGTTAGCGAAATTTCAATTCCTTTTTAAACAGATTCACCTTTGAAAATACATGCTTTCCTAATCAAAATATTTTTAACAAAATTGACGAATAAATTCAAAGGGGTGTCATATACATTTGTTGATAAATCCACATATTGAACTTACAAAATACTTGCACGCTTTAACATACGAAATCTACCCCTTTGCCTGTTCAAAAGCACTCCAAAACTGCTCCAAAATCGTAAATTTTTTACCATCCATTTGAATCAAAGTTTTTTTATGGCGACGACATAATGGCGGACAACTTGATTTTGCATTTGCATTCCCGGGCGTAATTAAAATCTCCGGGCGGAATTAGCACCCTCACCCGGCTCAACTGAAGCTCGCACATTTAACAAACTTGACAAACTATTGCACAATGCTATCTCACTAGAAATTTTGACGATAATTAATTGATATAAGTCAGGATAACGTCTTGTTAACGTGTTTCTAACGTGTTTCTTAAATGCGCGCAATACTTCTCTGATTATTTTGCTGCTATGCCGCGATTTTGAATAATTAAGAGACATCTTAAATAGGCTATTATCTCTGTGATTTTTTGGGTAAAATGTAATTGTGATATACCAAAATCTAAGATAACCTTCCCTCTATCTAAGAATCAAACCAGAGTACGTTTTTTGGGACACCCGCGGTATATTAAGTGTGCGATGTAATTCATTAAATCATAAAATTAATCAAATTGCAATATTTTATTTTCGACCATGCATAAATTCGTTTGAATTCATTTTCGACTTACAGAAGCGGTAAAAATCCAGATTTCAAAGATGATCAAAGCCTCTGCACCTAATTTTTGAAACTCGGATAGCTTGTCAGTAGCACAGTCCATATTCTCACATATTGTGTGGTCGAAGTGTGTTTCGCATAAAAATTTCGATCATACATAATTTTTTGTCCCATATATATTTGCATAGATTTCATCAGAGTTGGGAGGAATTCAGAATTCTGTTTATCAATGTCACTATTACCTGTTTCATCACATTGATTCCCTTGATTCTCTTCAGTTCTATTAGAATATCGTATGACCGCTACTTGAAACTTTTCGTTGTTATCGATCATTGTGCGTATCATTTCTTTTACTCTTTTTTGAATGGACTCGACCATTCCTCTTAACCTATTAATTCCTTAGTTGGAAAATTATCCTCTTTAAGATTGCCAATATAATCAACTCGAACGGTCGAGTATCCAGTTGCGGCAAAAGCATCTTTAGCGAGTTCAACATACTTTAAGAAATCAGCGTCTTCTATTTTGGATTTGGCATGTGACACAGATGGTTTCTAAGAAGTCTAACTTGGTCAATGGCTAAAGTTAATGTTTCTTCTTCGACTCCGTCTGGACTGATCAGCGTGGTGTGAAATTCCCTGGTTCTTCTCCCTATATATTGGTCGTTGAGTGTTTGAATCCCGTACCATGGTGGAGATTCCGAAGGTCTTTGAGTAAATGGTTGCTCTAAACAGACTTGTACAATCCCAATCCTGGTACGATGTGTTGGTTGGTACGTCAGTCGTTCCTTCATGATGCAAAAAAAGGGCGCGGACTTCGGGTGTGTCGTCCCATTCTTTACATCCAAGAACTTTTGAAATCTTTGTGTTCCAAAGTTTCGCAAATGTCGCACGTAGCATGTTCGGAAACTCGTCAAAAACGATGGATGCAAATTTGAAGAAATTCAATTCTTCGTTTGAAAAGGGTTTTTCTGCCATTTAGATGATATTTCTTGGAACGTACCAAACCAATTATTCAAATTCCTTGATGCCTACTGGAGAGAGAAGGCATTTTGAACATATAGTTTTATAAAAACTTTATTCGTCATATGAAATTTGAAATATGATTTATTTGGAATATGATAATATTATTGGAAATATGAAAGTCATCGTTTAGAAATGATATTTTCATTTCTAAACCTAATGTCGAAGAGCATAAAAAACCAACTTTCAGTATAAACTTCTATTTCGATTCCAATAAACATCTGAATGACACTAGATTAATAGACACACACACAGAAAAACTTGAGCGTAGCAGAAAACCTCAAACGAATTAAAATTTCCAAGAAAAATCTCCACTCTTCTTTTTCAAAATATCATTGTGAAAAGTATTAGATAAGGTTGAAATGTGCTTAGACAGCACTAGTTTCCTCAAAACTCTTACATATCTTTATCAAGCTTTAGTGCTACCATACTTTGATTATTGCTCAATAGTCTGGGGTAACTGTGACGAATATTTAAAAGCGAAGCTACGGAATCTCCAAAACTGAGCTGCGAGAGTTATTACTGGTGGCTCATAATAGATATTAATATAATTACAATGGTGATTATTGAAAACACTGGCATCTGATTGGTCCAGCGACATCAGATTATTATTATAAGCGATAATGTAATTTATATTGACAGGTCGCGGAAATATTAACTTAGTACGTTAGAGCTGTTCGGTCATATGCGTATATTGTAAATTATAGTCTGGCTTCCTACTTGAGAATTTGTAAAAGGAATATTAATTTATTAGAATGTCTACAAGAGGATACTAATTCAATTTCATTGCGTATAATAGGTATATGGAAAGCCATTTTGGGCAAAAGGTCTCGAGTTTTTCTCGCAGGACAACATTTTTCTCAGACGGTCGAGATTTATCTCGTATGGTCGAGAATTTTTTCTCGTAGGGTCAAGATTTTTACCATATATATAAATGTAGCTTTACAAAATACTTCTCCGAACTCGAGAAACTGAAAGATTTCAACAGCTTTAATGCATTTTAACCAACGTAATATCATTCAGAAGAACCTAACTAGTAGTGAAATCCGTTCAGCATCCTACCTTTCTCGTAGGCCAGTGAGCTTCTAAGCTTCACCGTGCAAGGGATTCTGGCCATATTTTGTATCTATCTCTGTGTCTTGCCCTTAGACAATAATTGTTTATTCCTTAGCAAAGCGAATTTCTGATAATATATATTTTATCGCTCTACATCTTTGAGCATTATCGTTCAGCATTTGATTCGATAAATACCAATGGCACGCATGATGTGCTATTGTTGAATAGTTAGAATGCACCAGCAAGCCACATGCTGTGCCAGCTTTGGTTATTTTATTAAATCACAATGTGTCATTAAAAGCATCTTTGCCTTCGTTGGTTCACTTTGAAAAACCATGCAGTAGGAACCATATTATCGTGTATGAGATTATTTAATCTCACGATTTAATCCCATGTTTGAAACGGTTTTGAAATAGTAAACACTCTATGAAGACAATAGGATTATTTCTTCAAAAGAATTGGAAGAAAGTTGGGCTAAAGTTAGAACTCGCTCTAACCCAAAATATAAAACAAGGTTAACATTTTTGTTCAAAAAGATTCATATTATGCTTTCTGATGGTTCCTGTATGCTACTCTATGTTTTGAATTACAGGTTACTTATGGGAATAAAGGACACGTGACCTAAATGCTTCATAAAATAAACCAAAGATTGATGGTTTGGTTTCAACCATTGTTATCTAGTTTCGGGTTGATAACTCAGGGAAGAACCATCACATGCAAAATCATTAATGCTGGTTTTCATTTGACATAATCGGTCGTAACTCGCATATGAATGCCGTTGTTTAGCGGAGCTTTTAGACCTCTTCTGGCTGTTACCTCACTAAGTTAGGTTAGGTTTCACTTGCAGAGAAACAGTTCGCCAGCGAAATATTTGCATATTTTCTTTAGAATTTTGACCGAATTGCTAAATTAGTTCAGCTTCACTTCATTCATTTCAAAAGAAAATATGCAAATATTTCGCTAGCGAACTATTTATCTGCAAGTGGAAAACTATGCCAACACATACCGGACGCGATTTGGCAACGCGGCGCGATTTTTCAAAGTTTTTGATTTTCCAAAAGAAAATAAATCTCAAACTATCATAGTTTCTAGCTAAACAAGACACCTGCTCTGGCGCGGTTATTCAGTAGTTTCGAACACAATTGCTTCCATGCATGCATTAATTTTGAAAAAATACTGAAATATTTTACATTCAGAAAATTAATTACATTTCACAATAGCCTTCACTATTTGAGAAAATTGTTAATTGCCTCATATAGGCGTGGGGATTTCGCAAGCATGTATTTCTAGTTAAACAAGACCCCTGCTCTGGCGTTTCTCGACTTTTGTCCACCAAGCTGGGTTCGTCCTCCCCAAAATTTTCTGTAGGATCTTTTCTTTTCAATTTAAAGTTTAGAACAGCACAAGCATGTATTTCTAGTTAAACAAGACTTCTGCTCTAGCGTGCCTCGCGTATGCCGGTCTTATATTATAGTGTGCGGTGTAATATGTGTAATGTGTTCACGAATATAAATGGTTCATGCTGCGTTAGAGCTTCGTCGTATTCTTTTTCAATCATATAAGACGTTTTTACGCCCCATGCGGTACCATACTTTAAACAGCGAAATAGCAGCGATATTATTAAAATAGAACCAAGATCTACATGAAAATATATTTTTATGCTTGTTAAACCTAAACTTAATCAGGCAGCATTAAAAGAACGGTGTATTTGTCCATCATCTAGGAGTATTATGTATTATGTGAGCAAAATTGAATCGCGCGTCAGAAAATTGGCCCAAGATTCGATAAGACGACGAAAAATATTAAAAAATAACAGAAATTGAAGAAAACCGATTTTAAATTAAAACTATTTCAATATTTACATTTCCTAGACGCGGGCCTGGTAAAATGTGATTCTTCCGTTGACGGGAGTATAAATTCTGCTCTTAAGGTTTGAAGCTATTGGAAGCCAGGTCAATGTTAATTGATGCGATACCTATTCGACCGACAAGCCATTCACCCAATTAAATTTAATAATAATTATGCTTCCCACTTATTTATATCGCTACTTATATATATATTGCAGATTATCTCTGCTTTTTAAAGCAAGCTAGCAAACTCGGGTGTATATTTCTGGAATGACTCAAATGAGTTGATCATTCGGTAAAAATAGGCACAAAGTGCTTGTGGAAAATTGCACAGCATTGACAAACATATAGGAAATCGCAAATTTACCTGACACAAGTCGTGTCAAATCATTAATATTGTAGTATGTATTTGCTGTACGAGAAGTAAACTTTCCAATGCTAACCGAAACGTCTCAAATAGAAACTCTTTGCTCAAGTGAACGCTTAGCAACCGTCTTGTCTTGTTTTCCTTTGGAAAAAGTGAATATTAACTACCATCTGTAGTTAGTTAGATGTGTTTCACTGTCATGGAAAGTAGAGCGAGAAAAATTAGCAAAACTATTGTTTTGTCAATTCCCTCGTGAAGTAGATCATGTAAAATGTGAACATTCTGAAAATCATATGTTTTGATAAGACCATGTAAGGGCCGTGTTGTCGTGTTCACAATGCGTTAATTATTTGCTATAGACGGATGCGATGACCATAAGACTAATATATGAACTACTCTACTGATGCATGGGAAGTCGACTATTCAGAAGTGTCGAGCACAATCGCTCTCTGAAATATTTCACATTGCGATGACCATGAGAATAATATATGAATCTACGCCACTGATAATGGGAAGTCGATTATTCAGTAGTTTCGAGCACAATTGGTTCCGTGCATTAATTTTGAAAAAATACTGAAATATTTTACATTCAGAAAATTAATTACATTGCACAATAGCCTTTACTTTTTAAGAAAATTGCCTCATATAGGCGTGAGGATTTTGCATGCATGTATTTCTAGCTAAACAAGACACCTGCTCTGCCGCTTCTCGACCTTTGTCCACCAAGCTGGGTTCGTCCTCCCCAAAATTTTCTGTAGGATCTTTTCTTTTCAATTTAAAGTTTAGAACAGCACAAGCATGTATTTCTAGTTAA